GGAACCAGAACATTGCAGTTTTCCAGAAGGAAAGTTTAAACTGTTGGTACACAGGGCTGAAAGTGCAGACCGAAAAGAAACCAAGCCAGGCTTGAGAGCACGATGGTATTTCAGATCTAAGCAAGGTTTAAGCTTACATTCAGTGAGTACCAGAGGTGGTTTGAAGGATGGCCTGGCCAAAAGAAGGGTGGACTTTGGCAGTCCTGTTTGGATAGGAAGGCAAGCTGAGGGACATAGGATTACCCTTGCCCAGATCTGGGAGAAAATATGATAGGGCATGAAACATCTGGCAATAGCTATGAGCATCTGGCTGTTCGTACAAATGGAAACGGACAGCCTTGGGAAACACTGCAGACAAAAAGGGATGTCACAGCTTGATTCTGAGAAGCTGTTTTAAGTTCAGAGAGGGCCGAGAGATAATTTGACCCAACGACATAATTGTAGCCTCAGTATTTCAGCCTCAGCATTTCCTGATGTTGTGAGATAGGAAAAGATAGCAAGGGAAGGACAACAGGCAGTACCATGTTGCAACTGAACTGTATGGAGAACTGAGAAGGGGTATGAGCAAAACCACTACTACCTCTTTCAGCTTAGTACACCAAAAAGCCACTGAGTGAAAAGCAATTCAAAATTAAAGCCTGTGCAGTGTGTCTTATGAAGTTAGTCCAAGCTCTTCTCAGTAAAGGCCAAAAATTCTCAGCAGATGTGGATCTCTCCTGCTCTAAGAAACCTCTAAAGCTGAAGGCCTGCTTCAGAGATGAACACCACATTTTTCAAACCAGTGTGGCATCAAAGAGATCCATATGCCACTACTAGCACAGATATTTGACAGCTGATTTATTTTTTTTTTTAATCCTAGGCACATGAAGATAGCTCTCAGAATTAATTTTTTTCCCCAACTAGAAATAATCGTAATATTTACACTCAGCAGCTTGGAAAATGGACAATGGGAAATTTTTGCTGCAGGCAAAGGTGGGACTGCAGTACTTCGGAAGATGTAGTCTAACTAGCTTCGGTGCCACCAACGATATGCAGGGTTCAGCATGGCCTGCAAAACCTACCCAAGAAGATGAATAAATATGGAGAGGCCATGCTGAGCAGTCTGCCAACACAGCTCCACTGTTACCAGCCCCCTGCTAAGTGGTTTTAAGCTGTCTTGGAATTATCTGTGCAAACTCTAGTCCCATTTTTCACTGCAACATTGCTATGCCCAATGTCAACGTATCAGTAAACTGAAGTGAGGGGAGAAGAGAAGTCAACTTACCTTGGATGTACAAATAGGTTTCTTTCAGCCGGCAATCAATATAAGGAGGGGGTAAGAACATCTCCAGGCAGTACGTATAAATGTCGATATGCTTTCTTTCCAGATTTTTAAGAATGAAAGTGGTGCTGCTGTTTGAATGCTCTGCCTGACAGTAGGTGACATTACTCTTGGGGATAACATTCTCCTCGCTCAAATGGAGTGCACAGATCTCCTTCTTTTCATGCCCTTTGAAGAGGGTCATGCTGAACTCACTCACATTTTTGGGGTTGGGGAATGTGAACCTGAAGTTTCCATTTTCAAATTCCACCATCACCTGAGGGTCAGAGACATGATGCTGATCTGAAGACATGAAAACAATAAGTACAGTCACTCACATAGCAGTGAAAAGAATCCCAAAAATGTTAAGAAACTCATTTAAACAAAGCCAGTGAACCATGTGATTGAAACTTAAGGCATGTAGGTACTCAGAATAGTCTTGCTGTGGAAAGCAGCCTATACAACAGAGATACCAGTGCATCATTCTGGTCATGTCAGACATTACTGAGAAAATAAATGACATGAGATCAGACCTGGCCTGTTATCCGCTATAAGGCTGGAAAGGTCACTGTTAGCATTGCATCAGTTATTTGATAATGTTTAACCCCCTCCTTGGACCAAACACTATATGGACATACAATCCCTGCCTCAGACTGACTGTACTACTCATAAATAAAAAAAGGTGGGACAAAGATGATGATAATTGTGTCTGGTTTATGGTTCATAATCTGCACCCTAATGATACAGCTGAGAACTTAAAATGGAATGTGAAACCAGAACTCCTATATAAGTGCCTTAACCATAGATGTATCTTTCCTTTCTAGGGTAGATACTGGTTTGAAGTTTAAACCTAAGTACTTAGATGGCTATAGCACCTTTTTCACTAACACAATGGGAGGAGTAGAGGACAAATGTTGCTGTGTGCATGCACACACAAGCAATCCAAAAATCACATTTGACCTTTCTAAAAACTGTCTGAAAAACTCTCAGACATTGTCAACTCTCATTTTGCAAATTTCTTGGAGATGAAAAAGAAAGTAAACTGACCAAGGACCTCCTGCTACTTCACAGTTTGACTTTGTAAAGTCAGTGACCAATAGCAACGGAAACTCCCTCAGACAAAAATGTGTTAAATAGTGCTGTTGAAAAATGACAGCTTTTTTCTTCAAAGGCAGCATTTTCTGATCTAGAAAGACATTTAAAATCATAAATTAAATTATGCAAATATGTCTTACCTATATTTTTGCACGGTCTTGATGAGCAGCTATCAACTCCTGAAAAATACAAAATTGTTTCCTGTTTAAAATTCAAGAAGAGAGATGCAGCAACAGGGGCTGAGCCATGCAATGTTAAAACATGCTGAAGTTATTTTCTAATTTGTTTCATTACCCTGTCTGATCCTGTCTGTGCTAAAATCGTATGATGTGATAAAATCGTATGATGTGATAAAAGCGCAAAATATAAAAATCAAAGTAAAAAGAAAATACATTGAGCAAGAATTAATATTGATCATATATAAAGCACTTAGAAATTCTTAAAACACCTCTGCAAAGTAATAGATGTACTTCATAAATAGAAGCTAAGATGAAAGTAAAATTTTCCCCCAAATACTGAGGAAACTGCTCCCAAATAAAAGAGTATACTTTTGATTTCTCATGAATTCAGAGTCTGCAATGAGCCAGCATCATATTTTGTTTCCAAACCAAAGCGCTCGTTTCAGTCTATGTTCATTCTGTTTCCCTCACTGCTCAACACTGCGTCAAAACCTCTTCTTATGGCACATCCAGAATGAATATCTGGAAGATTCTCCAATGCATACAGCAAGAAAATATTCAAGCAAGGTGTACGGTTTTGTTCCTTTTTCAATAGCAACTTTCTCTCTTCATGATTCTGAAACTGCATTTAGTCCATGGTGCATAGGCAGCCTCCATTACAGGTGACAGGCACATTTTTAATAATTGTTCTAGATTTGGTTTTTAAGCCACTGCCTCCATCACCACCCACTATGGCAATACTGAGACTGGAATTTCCTGCCTGAGTTGGTGGCATGTGCTACTTTGAAATGCTTTGTATGTCAGTGCTGGCGGCATAGCACAGCCTGATAATATTTCATTTGGAATTTCTCTTTTTGCAGTGCCCTAAAATTAAAGGTACGGACAAGTAGGAAAAAACCTGTATCTGCTTTTCCTGTTTTATAGTACCCTGAGTAAGATCTTCAGAGGCTACTTAGATTGAAATACACTCTACACCAGGATTTTATGATGCTAATGAAATACAGGGCAAATACTTAAAGACTTTGATGCACTATCCTATTCTTTTTACTGCTACATGGTAGTCTAGACCTACGCAGAGTAGGTCCTCAACTATGCCAGATATTGTACTGATTACACGGTACAAATAATCTTTTTCCCTAGGCATCTGTTATCTTTGACATCTAGTGTGCATTTGCAAAAGAACAGAAGGTTATTCTCATTTCAGTACCTTTGTATGCTCTCAACTCTTTCTGGACAAGGCAATCTTTTAGTGTCCATGCTTTTTCCTTCTTTGAATTCTCACTCCTCAGTTACAAACCATTGGCAAGGGCATTACAATGAAGGATATTAAAATATTTTTAGTGTGACATATAAGCTAATGGACTTCTGGAAGACACTTTGCAATGCTCAGTTGGAAAGTAATAGAAACGGTTAGCCCTTTTTGATTGATTTACTCTCTTCCTAGGTATCACATTCTTCCTGGTTTACTGTGCACAGTCAGCACCCTTATCTAATTCAGTGACAGTTCTAATATCTGTACGTCTGTCAGGACTATTACTTAAGTGTGTGATAACAGACGAGGTATTTGGCATCTCATACCACTGGTGTGAAGATAAGAGAGACAAAACACACAACTCGCCAACCCACAGTGAAATAGAGCTCTAGATATGCCGAAGGCCCAGACACAGAAAGTGCAAGCCCTCATAATGGTATATAGTCTGAAAAGCTGAAAGCAAAGGTCAAATAAAGAAATAGTTCTTGATGACTTGCATGTTGCATGGTGAAAGAAAACAGCTGCTATGAGAACAACATCTGAAATAAAGGTCTTTTAAAATGCTCTGTAGTTTGATGGTCTGTGGTTTGGTAACATATACCTTTAAAATTAGGCCCAACAGCAGACAAATTATGTAGGGAAGAGAATTAAAAAACAAGTGTATTGATATAGCAGAAGTTAGGGAGCACGGTGGAGATATGTAAGCTGACCTGATGCTTTTAAGAAGCATCCACCTGTAGCTGAAGCCTCTACATTTGTCACTGGTCATCTGAGAGGAGAGGCAGATGCTGACTCCGTCGGGGCAGCTACAGAGCCAGGTGGTGCCGTATTCCCCGAACGCCCCAGAGGACCTCGGGGCTACCCTACTCTGAGCACTAAAGCAACAGCTTTGAATTTCATTTCTCTGTTTGTCTCTGAGAATAGTTCACTTCTGCTGTTAGCTAATGAAATTGTGCTTTCATACTAGATGGTTTAAAACGTTTGTCAGAGATCATGGTTTTAATCTGTTTTTAGTGGAAAAGGGCAGAGAGAGGCCATTAAGCATGTATTTCGTGTGGCCTTGTGGCAAGCCGAATGATCGTTCTGTGTCCTCGCAGGCCCAGAAGCCGTAACCGCCCATTTTCAAGAAAGACTCAGTAATGTGTTTCTCTGAATGAGGATTTTGGTAAATGTGATGCAATTAGTATTCCTCTGAAACAAGTGACCGTATAGAAGAGTGTGCTTAGCGTAGCATAAAGGGAGCACATTTAAAAATGAGATTAACAGTACCTGAGATTAAAACGCAAAATTGTCTACATGGATAACCACAATGGGTGAGATCCGATATGAATTTCCAACTCACTAGCTACTCTGCATCAGCTCCTAATGAGAATGCCCTCACTGCATACTAAAAGGTGGCTCATTCCTCCCTTCCTGGTGCCTGATTGCTGTTCTCCTGTGCCCATTTGTACCAGGTCATTCCTAGGGTAATCCTGTGGATCTGTAACACTCTCTAGTTAATGGCCAGACACATTTGGGATGTAATATGCCAAGCTGCAGTCAGAATAAATGTACATTTAGTGGGATGGGAGATAGGAAACTGGGGTTTAAACATCTAATAATATTTAGAGATTCACTCACTAAACCTCCCTAATACTACCTCAAAAAATCTGTGCATAAAAGACTACATCACAGTATTGTTGGAAATGAACAGAAGAATCTCACTGGTTCAGTAGTAAAAACGCTTAAATTTGTCCTTAAGGTTCCTTTTTTGGTATTTTTCATAAAAGAGCTAATTCAATTGCATATGAGGGTTCTGAGACAAGAGGAAACAAATCTTTCATTCGTTTCATAGCAGTGTCACACTGTGGAGTCGCATAGAGTTGTTCCTGGCTCACATCATGTGAAGCAGAGTGTCAAGACAAATATTGTGGTTCAGACATGAATCCGAGAGATGAACATGTATATGAAAGTAACATCTTGCTATGTTAAACTATGAGCGTGAGCGTGTGTGTACCTTCTATGTATATGTGTATTTAGTCATGTACATTTCTGTCTCCATTTTATCTTTACTGCAGCAGGAAAGTGCTTTGGCAAAGGTTTGGGAATTCTATGGTAGTGTGCTTGGACATTGAGGCCAATTGAAGGTGGGTTATTTTTGTTTTAATGGGATTGCAATTTTCATCTTTCTGGTTGCTCTTTTGCAGACCCAATTCTATTTGCATACATCACCAATCCATTACACGTTTTGGTCCTAGCAGAAGTTTAAAAACCTCTTTTGATTAATTTTAAAACTTGGAGTTTAGGGTAGGACAATAGCATACTCTTGCTTGGTTTTCTGGATGTTTATCTGCCCCAACTCTCAGAAAACTAATTGATAAAAAGAACAAGCATAATTTCACTTGGGTGTGTTTGCCTCTGAAGATGAGGAAGGAGAGTGTAGATGCAGACCCTGCCTTTAAAACAAACACATTTTTTTCGTTAATACTAAATGCGTAATGAAACCACACACAGTTTTTTTAAGTTGCTACGGCTTTGACCTTTCAAGGCCCTCTGAAAGATGGCACTGTCCATTCAGTGTCCTTAGTCATATGCCTAAAACTAACATGTTCTTATCTTTTAAGAATCAAGGAATAAAATAGGAAAGCAGTGCTTCTGGGCAAAGCAAGTAATGGCCAGAATTACTCCAGGAAGCCATCTATAATCTGAATTATTTCTATGGTATAACATATGTTGTGAAATATGGAAACTCTTATAAAATACACCACTAACACAGCACCCATTGTTGATAGTATTTCAGATACCCTTCTGAGAAATGACTGTGATTTCCTCCTGTATCAAAAACAGATCTGTGGGTGAACTAATTAACTGATAAAAAGAACATTTGAACTTTGCAAACACTGGTGTGCAAAAGCTCGTGTGCAGTGTTTCACAGCAAGGGCCTCAAGTGCTCTGGAGTTCTACAGCTCTGTACTCCAAAATCCCATTGCCTGCGTTCCTCTACAGGCACCAGAGAGGCTCCATGCTCTTACACCCAATTTCTCTATCAAAATTGCGTTATCAAATCATAGTACACATATACAGACATATATCACCTTCTGTGACCTATTTATGTTGAAAAAAA